TTAAAAAATTCCCTGCAAAATGTATGGAAAGGACGTCGCGACGTAGCTCGAGCGGCCGCTCCTAAAATTACTACGAGCGTCGATAAGCGCGCACCTGACTCGCCAATGCCACGCGCCTTGGTTCAACCTTTTCGACGGATTTGGACGACGGATCGACGATCCATTCGCGAGGCCATCCCGGGTGCTCCGGAGCCCTCGACGCTTCGCCTCGGTGGCGGCGGTCGATCGGTCGGCCCGGTGCTCCCTGGGGGGCGCAATTGCCGGTAATCGAGGGTGCCGGGAGGCCGCCCTTCCGGGACGACCGCCATTGTCCGGGTCGCGCTTTTCCGGCGGCCGCGGCCGGAGGAATCGGGCCTGCGGGGGCGCCGGAGACGGCGGCAGGGAGTTCGAGAAGTTATCGGGAGGGGTCGGGCACCGAAAGGGGTCGATACCTATCGACGGTATCGCGATTTGCCGCGCGGCTGGGTTATCGGGCGACGTATCGAGCGGGAGCAGCCACCCCGGCCCAGGGGTGGGACCGTTCCCGTCTTTCCGCGTCACCCGGTACGCGCTGGCAGATAGGGATCATCAAGGCGTGTTCTATCGGTCTCATCTCGGCCACCCTCTAACAACCTCTCGCGCGCTCTCGTCGCGTTCCGCGGCCGGCCGAGTGGCGCGGAGCGACGGAGAGAGAACGACGGAAAGAGGGAGAGAGGGAGAGTGGGAGCGAGAGAGACGACGAGAGACAAAGCGAGAGAGGGAATGAGAGAAAGAGAGGGACGGAGAAAGCGAGGAGGAGACCGGGAGAGAGCGGAAGAGAGAGAGGGGGGGTAGAGGGGAGGGGGGAGACGCCCGAGCGCACCGGCAAAGGGGATAGGGTCTATTTTTGTCGGGTGGCGGCGGTGGCGGGACAAAAAGCCTGCGGCTTCTCCCCTGGACCTCTCTCTTCCTGGCTCGATTCCTCCTCCCCCCCCCCACTCTCTCGCTCTCTCTCCGTCGCTCTCTCCCGGTCCCCCCGTTTCCCGCGCTCTCTCCCTCTCGCACGGATACTCTCGTTTTACTCTTTTCGCTCTCCGTGCGCCTCTTTTTACGCCGGCGAGTCGGCCCTCTCGCTCCCTCCGCGGGCCGGGTCGCGCTCTCGGTCTCGGTCTCGCGCGCAGCCCCACTGCGCACGCGAGAAACGGAGACGGAGAAGCGAACCGCGAAAGCGCGAGGAGGAGAGCGACCGTGGGCGAGCGGCGGGCGGAGAGGGAGGGACGGGGGGACAGGGCCTCGGCTCCCTTGGCGGGCCGCTACTAATTGCCGGCGGCCGGCGGCCGGCGCGGCGGCCGCTCCCGGCTACGGGCCGCTGAGCATCGCGCCACGCACAAGAGCCGCCACGGTTACGTTCCGTGGGTTATAGCCGTGACTGCGGATACGCGGACCCGAGACGGCGGATGCCCTTCCTTTGCGACCGTCCCGCCGGTCTCGACCGCCCGGCCCTCCGGGACGTCCCGGATCGCTCCCCGAACGACTCCTCGAGTCGCGGCCGGAACGGTCCGTCGACGGCCCGTGACCCGGGAGGTCGTCCCAAAGGAAGGTGCCCCCGGGCGATCGCGTATCGGGGAAACCTCGGCGATGCCAGTGACGTCCGCGGCCTCGGTGACGTGCTCCGCCGCGGTGAAATCGATGCGAGCGGGGGCCCGTGTGAATCTTTTTTTACGTCGCTCTGAATTATCATACAGGGCCGATGCCCGGTATCGCGTTCAGGGCGGGAAAAAACGGTCCCGGGAGAAAAAAAAAAAAATCCGAATGAAAATTCAACGTTATTCAAACGGCGGAATTATCAACGCGATACCCGAAAACGCGTCCCAGAGAATTCCGCGCGACTTCGTTTCGACGAATGTTTAATGCGCTCGTCTTTAGACCGAGAATAAGCCTCGAGACGTTTTAAGATCGAGTCTCGTCCGAATGGTTCTTTTCCCGCAGTCCGCATAATGGGGGGACTGACGGGGGATAAAATGCGGGACGCGACGCAGATCGTGGCCGAACGAAATGATCTCTTCGAGGAAATCTCGGAAAGGAAGCGACGCCAACGTCCGGAGAAAATTTAACGCTCCCCGGGAGAGCGGAATTTCCGAGGCGACCCGGGCCGCGGGGAGAAAACGGAAAGGGAGAAACGTGCGAACCACTGCACGCGAGGAGCCCCGCCGGGGGAATAATTGGGAATAAAGTAATAATTGCGGAGGGCGAGGAGAAAAGAGGACGGCCATTCCGCGACGGGACGCGTCCGTGGGAGAGAGGTCGATGCAAATTCGACGGACCGAGCGGCTCGAGGCGATCCACTCTCGGGAACGGCGAGAGTGTGGGAAGTTTCCCTCCGGTCGCTCGTCCACGGACGGATGAATTCATCCGGGGAAAATCACGTTGGATTTACCGGATCCGGGAGAAAATTTCCCGGGCTCCCCCTCCCGGTACCCTCGGGACCCCGGATCCAGTTACGAGATCCAGTACCCGGAGATAACTCGCGACCGCGGTCCCGGCTCCGGCCGCGCGTGGGCCGCGGCCGATCGTGAGAACCGACCGGATCCCTCGAGCCGATAAGATATTGCGCCTCGCTAATTGGTGACACCTCCGCCGACCCTAAAGAAGAGGCCGGTCGGCGGGGAAGATCAAAGCCGGCCGCGCCGAAAACCCGGGCCGAATCGACGCGGGACGCGCGAAATCGACGCGATAAAGGCGACCCGATTCCGTCGGTCGGATCGCCGATCTCGGCGACGCAGATATCGAGCCCGGTCTATTACCCCGAACGGCGCCCACCGGATGCGGCTTTGCCGAGGTGACGCCTTTCCGGCACTTTTAGGACGCCCCGGTCGCCGCGGAGCATCGAAGGTTAACGTTCGTCTCCTCGGTAACGTTTACCGTCCGCGGATAATATTAATTACGAGGCAGCGAACGTTGCGAAAGCGTGAGGAAAATTGCCGCCGCGATTACGGTGGCGGACGGCGAAACCCCCCGTAGGCGGCCCCATTCCCGCTCCCGAGAGGAAGACGCTCCGTTTCCCCGTTACCGTAATTCCATTAGACCCAAAGTCGCGATCCTTTTCGACCCGTCGGGATATTTTCGACCTCCCGGCGAGGTCGGCGAGAACGTCGCCAAAACGGAAAAGCCGCTCGATCTCTCTCCTCCGATCCGGTCGATCTTCCCCGGGTCTTCCGCCTCGCCCTCGCCGCCCCTCGTCGACGCGAGCGCGGTTTCCGCTCGCCCCTCCCGCGGGTCGCCGAATGCGGCGGCGGCGTTCCTCTTTCGGGCGTGACTCAGCTGCGGCCGAAAGCGGGTATTCCGGAGCCGCCGCCCTCTCGGCCCTTTTCGTCCGGGCCGCGCGCGTGCTTTCGTTACCGGAGCGGCGGCGATAATCATCGAGCGCCGCCGTCGGGGCGGGGGGCGCGAAGGGGTTATCGGGCGCGAAAGGGATATCGCGCTGGGGGGCGGAAGGGGAGCCGAGAGCCATTAGAGGATCCGCCGAGCACCCCTTCGGCTCCCCTCGGCCGGCCGAGCGGGACCCTAATCCCTCGACCCCCGATTAGCCGTCGGCCGGGATTTGTTTATCCTCCTCCGTCTTTCGGCGGGCCTTGGGCCATCGGTCGGCCTGAAAGTCCCGGCCCCTCCACCCGCGGCCGAGTGCGGCTCCCGCGAAAGGCGCGGCCCGTTATATTAGCCTAGGGTCGACGCTCGGCCGCTCTCTCTCTCTCTCGCTCTCTCCCACTCCGTCTCGCCCTCCGCCCGCCGCGGCGGGGTTACGGTTAACCGAGTCAAACCCTCGAAATCGTAGCGACGAATTATCGGCTCGGTTAACCCCCGACGCCGCTCCCGCCCGCCCGAGCGCGAGCCTTCCCCCAGGACCCGGGTTTCCACCTATCGGACCGAGCGCCTCCCGTCCCGAAAAAGCCTCGCGGGCGCCTCGATTCGGCGCGTAACCCGCCGCCTCGGGAATCCCCCTGGGTCTGGCTCGTCCGCGGATGACGCGCGCGTCCCCGGTACCCGGGGGGGCCCTCGGCGGCGGGCCTTGCCCGTACGGGACCTTTGGCGGCCGCGACGATCGATGACAACCCCGGCCTCTCGGCTCGGGCCTCTCGCTCCTGCCCGCGGCGCCGATCGAGAGGGTCGCTCGCTCCCTCTCGATCGAGATAGACGCGTGCGAGAGGGAGACGGGCCGCCGGAAAGGGGGGCCGGGTTTCTCGGGAACGGGAGCGAGAGAGAGGGCCCAGACGCCGGCGGAATGCCGGGCCGAGAGCGACGGAGCTCGACGAGGATCGCAGCCGGCTCCTCGAACGCGGGACGCAGTGGGGGAAGCACCGGCGCGGCCTGTCCGTGCCTCTGCTTCGGAAAGTGACTAATGACCGGCCGGCCGGACCCGCTCTTCTGCCACCCAGCGAGAGAGACCGCGCAGCGTCCTCTCTCTCCCGGCGACCCACGCCGGGTATCGCGGCCGAGCGCCGTTATCTCCCCGACGGTCGACCGTGAAAAATGACCGCCGCGAGGAGATATCTCGCGCGGCCGAAGGGCGCCCCGCGGAACCGGGTCGACCCGAATCCGCCCGAATCCGTCCGAATCGACCGCCGACCGCGGAAGCGGCTTCCTCGGGCGGAACGCCGGGGAGATCGGACCGGATCCGGAGCGGTTCTCGGGAGCGGCGCGAGGAGAGCGGCGCGCCGACCGAGGCGGTCCGGCCTCGAGCCCGATACGGTATCGAGGATCGCCGCCGAGAGCGTTTCTTTAATCGGCGGGGATTACGCGACGGGTTTCGAATTTCGCTCCGCGTTCGGTGCTCGTCGCTCCTCCTCTTCCGCGGTTTCGCCCTCCGGATCTTCCTAGGGATCGCGGGTCGCCCGGTCGGCACGAATCCAGGGCGGATGCCGTTCACCGCGGGCATCGCCTGGGCGGAACGATTAAAACACGGCGATCGGACTCGAAAGTCGGCGGCGACTCGGCGGGACGCCCCTGGCCGTTGAGGCGCTAGAAAATGGATCGTCGGTACTCACTTTGTTGTGCGGCAGCTGCGTAGGTACGTAGAGGGGCGGGTCGAGTCCGGGACTCGTGACGGCGTGCCGACCCACGATCCTATCGGCCGGCTTGGCGTCGTATCCTTCGGGCTGTCCGATGTGGAAACCCTTGCTCTTGACCCAGAATCGGAACTTGCTGTTCTCCGCGCTGTTGACCTCCTCGCCGCGCAGCGTCCGGAGGATGCGCGCGTACTTCTTGATGGTGATGGTCTTGGTCTTGGCGAGGTCGCCGTAGGTCTTGATCACCCAGGGCTGGTAGGCGTTGAACATGGCGTCGTTGAGAAACTTCTTGGGCACCCCGGGGCCGGGCTCGCCGACGGAGTGGCCCGCCTTGCCGACGAAGGCGCCTCCGCCGGGGGCCGGCGACGCGCCGGAGAAGGGCATCGCGACGCCCCCGGGGCCGTCCAGGCCCGACGCGGGCGCCTTCCCGCCGGCCTCGGCCGCGCCCATGTAGCTGGAGGCCAGGCTGCCCCCGGTCATGTTCGAGATGTCCAGGTACGAGACGGAGGAGCTCTTGCCCAGGTTGGTGGCGGTGCCGACGAAGGTCGCCATGCTGGTGGACATGTAGGGGATGGCGGGCGGCATGGCGAGGCCGGGCGAACAGAGGCCGGGGATGCCGGGGGCATAGGGCGCGCCCTCGGCCCACCCCGCGGCCGGCGACTCGGGGCCGCCCGAGGGCGCGGAGGCGCCGGCCTTGGACTTCCCGGAGGCGCCGCGGCCCCTGGAGTCCCCGGGCGAGCCGGGACCGGCCGAGCCCTTGGCGCCGGCGGTCGAGGTCCCGCGGGACTTCTTGGCGGGCGGCTCGCCGTGGCCCGGCGAGTTCAGGTTCCCGTGGGACGGGCTGTTGTTGTTCTCCGAGCGGGAGCGCTTGTTCGTCGAGGAGGAGGCCGACGACTGGCCCGTCGGGGACGGCGAGCCGTTAACCGGCACGCGTCGTCGCAGCCCCATGGTCGCCGTGGCCATTCTCGGTCCGGGTCGCTCGGTCGACTCGCTCCCTTTCGCGGAGACCCCGCACCGTCGAACGCGTCGACGATCGCCGTCACCGCGCGGAGGTCCCGCGACCAGTCGACATCCCCGGGGCGACGTCGGGCGGCTCCCTCCCGTCCCGGAGGCGCGTCGATGGCTCCTCGACTGCCCTCCTCGGGGCGTTCGCCCTCCGTCGGCTGGCTCGGCTCGCCCCTGGAACAAAAGAAGCTCGGAGGTGACGAGGGAAAATTAACTAAGCGCGATTACGAGCCGGAAACGTTTAACCGAGGGTGCCGCTAATGGACCACCCCGCCCGAGCGCGCCCGGCCCGTCCGCGGCGCGGCTCGGATTATAACTGCCGGGGATATAATATGTGGACGAAATTAAACCGGGAAATTGGCTTTGCGTTATTGGATGGCTGCCGCTAATGTACGATCCAATTTCTTTCCTCGGTGAACCCCCGGGTCCCCGGCAGCCCCGAGGACCCTCGAGTCGGCGTTGGCGCCGGCGCCCGTCGACTGCCACGCGTCCGGCTCGAACGCCCGAGGAGACCGACGCCGTATCGCGGGCATCGGAACGAGTCTCCGGGGACGAACGGAGCCAGAGGGAAGACCGTGCGGCTGCCAACGACCCACCGCGTCGTAAAGAATTCCCCGAAGCCGGAAAATCCGTCACGTCCCGTCGCCGAACGCGCGCCCGCTGGAACGTCGTTAGTGGCGCGCGGCAACGACCCGTTTCCGATTTTTGTCGCCGAGGTCGAGGACGCTGTGGCCACGACGACGCGCGATGGTACGTGGGGAGAGTTCCCGAGGACCGGGGGTCGATTCGCGCGAGTCCGGTCCGCATCGGTTCGGCGTCCGTCCCATTACGGCGCGTCCGTTAGCGTCAAATCGGCGACGTCCAGGCTACCCCGAGACCCCGGGAAGAAATCGCGGTCGACTACATTTTCCGGCGACGCCGACCGGACGGAACGCAGCCCACCCGCGCGTCCCATTGCCCCGGCTTAACGGGCCCGGGGTCCCCGGCCCCGTTGGACTCGGGAAAGTTCCCGAGGACGGCGTCGATCGAGCCATCGGCAGGTTTCCCGTCCCGGACCGTCCCGTGACCGAAGACGACGGGCGTCGCGGCGGTGGTCGAATCGCCAGCCGACCGCGTCGGGTTAGATGACCTTCCGAATTAGGAAACCTGTCCGTCGGCGCGACTTTCCCGCACGCGCATTGGGCGGGTGCCAGCTCGAAACGGTGCCTCGCAATTTGGCGCGTCTTAATAAAATAACGCGCCCCGCTGCGAGAGGGCCGCGCCGGGAGAGGGGGGCTCGTTTAAGCGGCCATTATCCGCGCGTAGGTTCCGCCGCGTCCGCTCCCCCCCGAAGAGAACGGTGCCCGGTTCGGAGACAAACTTGCGCGAAATAAAACCCGCGGCAAGGAAAACGCTACGCGACCTTCCGCGGAATATTTCACGGAGACCGGAGAGCCGGACAAATTGCCCCGCCGCGTAGACCGGACTGTCGAAAGATCGCGCCCTATGCCTCCGGCTAAGTTTAACGGGACGGCGTTTCCGTTCGCGGCGTCGAGCGCGTCCGCAGCCGACACGGTTCCCAGGCTGGCGTCCCTTAGCGTCAGCGGAGCAACGATAAAGTCTCTTTCGTTAAGCATTGCCTATCGCCAATCGTTAAATGAAGCCAATTTCCCGGCGCCCCGGTCGCGTCCGAGGAGCGGTTACGGGCAACAAAGTATACCGATTAACCTCTGCCCGCGGATCGGCCGCGGGCCGCGCCGGGTCGCCGCAACGGTGGTCATAGAAATGACCGGATCGCCTTGCGGCGCGTCGCGCGCCACGCGAGGTACCGATCAATTGTTCAAAATCGGTCGCTGCGGCGACTCGCGACGCGGGCGCGGCCGCCCATCCGGGACATTCGTGACTTCGGCGCGTGCCCGGAGCGGTAGTTAAAAATTCACCGAGCGCCCGGACGAGCGCATCGTCCGCGTCGATTGTTTTCGCCGGACGCGTAAGCGAGTATATCGGCCACGCCGATGGTTTACGCCAATCGCATACGCGGGTTCATCGTCCGGAAAGGGGTAATTACGCCCACGCGCGCGCTCTCGATAATTCGAGACCCGAGGCTTCCTTTCCGGCGTCCCGGCGGCCTCGAAGGTTCCCGAGGCGGACCTCGAGGGTCCGGCGAAACCGAACGCGACGAGGAGACTCGGAGGAAATTCGAGAAGCGGGACGCGCGGCCGCGAGAGGCCGGCACAAAGGAAGGCGGCCGGTCCTTCGGTAGCCGGGCTCGCCCGGGCGACGGACGGCGTCGGGACGCACGCGAGTCACGTAGGACCGCGGGCCACCGTATTATGGCGCGTAACGCGCGCGGTGCGCCGCGCTCGGCGCGCACCCGGCGGCCCGACGCGGGGTCGCGATACGTGCTTCCTGCCGGCGGCGACGGCGACGCCGCTCCTCGGGCCGACGACAAAAGGCCGCGGGCGTCCCTCGCCGCCGTGGGACCGGCTCGTGATCGCAATGCGCGATCGAATCCGCGCGACCCGGCCGGGCGCCTCCGCGACGAGGGCGACGCCGGGAGAAGGGCGCGGCGCGAGGCGGCACACGTGCCGCGCCGTAAAACTTTCGGGGCCGGCCGTGAATCCGTGCACGCGCGTGGGAGGAACGGGACGTTTACCGCGCGCGGAGTGGATCGTTAGATGCCGGGACGTCTCAATGCTTTTTTACCCGGGGACTCATCCGAGCGGAACGCGGGGAATTCGTTTCCAGGATCGGCGAGGCGTCGAGGCGAGGACGCGGATTCTCGCGTCCCCGGCGTCGCGTTTTTTGCCCCGCAGCGGTCCCCCTCGATCCGACGGCGCGCGGACCGCGATCGGGAAACCTCCCCCGCGTTTCGCACCTTCCGAATCGGCGACGCGCCTCGCGTTACCGCCCGTGGGAGGGGGTCACGGAAGCCGAGGAAGCGCCAAAGAAGCGTCGCCGCCGCCTTCTCTTCTCGCCCTCCGGCTTCCGCCCGCTCGCCCCTCGTCCGCGGCGGAAAGATGAAACGACCGCTCGGCGCGCCGGGAGAGGGAACGGAGACGGAGAGCCGCCGCGCGAGCGAGACGAGGAATCGCCCGCTGATGGACCGAGACGGCCGCCCCCGCGAGGGGCTCGTATTTTATTTAGCGGGTGGAGGACCCCGAGAGGGCGGAGGCCGCCGATGTTTCCCGCGGCTCGTCGCGACTCTTCCGCCCCCGGATCGATGTCCCCTTCCGGTGGGCCGGGGGGGGCGCGAGCCGAATCCCCCGACGTAATTACGTAAAGCACCCGAAACCGCGTGGGAAGCGGCCCCTCGCCGGCCCGTCCTCTCGGAGGTTTCGAGAACGGGCCCCGGGCCCGCCGCGTCTCTTGGTGGTCCGGGACCCGAGGAGGGTTCGAGGAAGAGGGGCCCGATCCCCGGGGAGCAAAAAAAGTGCGGGGGCTAAGCGCGCCCGGTGGCGGTAAGTCGAATTCCCAAACGGGCGGGTGTGGCGACCGGCCCGCGCCGGCCCGGCCCGGCTCGGCTCGGCCCGGCTCGGTTCGGCCCGACCGGCCCCGGCCCCGGCCCCGGCCCTCCGGGTGCCCGCGGGATCGCCGCCCTTTTCCAGAGGTCCCCCGACCGATCGGGCCCGACTAATGGCCGGGACCCGTCCCCTCCCCGACGACCCTCCGATTTCAGGCCCCTCGGGAGCGCGATCCTTCTCCGAGTCGAAATCGCCCCCTTTTTTCTCTTCCTTTTCTCCCTTTTTTTCTTTTCCCCCAGAAACTCGGAACGCTCCTCGGGCGAACCTCCGCGGTTTCTCGTGGGGATATCCGCTCGTGCCATTATTCCCGATTGCGGATCCCCGAGGGTCCGCCCGTGGGATCTATTATAGATTTCGAGCGAACCGGAGCGTACTTCGTCCCGGGCGAACTCCTTTTCTTCTTTCGCCTTCCCGGAATGTACGGAAGACCGATTCGTCGCGAACCGATTGCGGAACGAGCGAGGACGAGCCTCTCGGTGGGTTCCTCGGTTTCCGTTGTCACCAGAACCGTGATAGCGCGAGAATGAAAAACAACGAACGGAAGAAAAGGGCGTTCCTGCGTCGATGCCGCCACGATTCGCCCGATACGTGCCGTAACGAGATGGCTCGCAAATCCCGGCACTTCGCGAATGCGCGATGGGAACACTTATCCCCGATAGTTCGCCGCGCTAATCCGCGCGGTAATTATTATTAGAACGGACGTCGGGCGTCGCGCCTCCGGGACGGCCGCGCGATCGGCGGAATCGGGGCGAAATCGGGACCGGATACGGAAACGGCACCTCCGGACGTTCCACTCGACTCTTAACCACCTAGGAGAGGTCCTACGGACCGGAAGAGGCGCCGACGGCGTCGGAGGGCGTCGCCGGCGGATACGCACCTCGGTCGATGGCGATCGGCGCCGATCGGCGCGCGATCCGCCTGGGGTCGTCGGTCCTGCGGCAGCGGGATCGATCGGAGATCGAGGCGGGCACGCGGAGTCACTGTCGCGGAGGAGCACTTTCCGCGTCCGGGCCGAGCGCGGCGGCAGGCGGCGACGTATCCGGCGCGCGAGTACCGGCCGAGTGGCGCGAGCGGCGCTCGCGCGAGTGGCTCGGCGCGCTCGGCGGAAGGAAGCTTTCCCTCGGCGCGGGCTCGGGCGCGCAGCCGGCCGATTCGGGCGGCGGGGCGAGGCGCGGCGCGGGCGGCGCGGGGCGCGGGAGCGCGGAGGCGCCGAGGCGAGAAAAAGCCCGATGGCCCGCGGTCAACGACGGCACTCTCGAAACTCGGCGGATCGTCGCCGCGGCGGCGGCGACTGCTCGGTCGGTCGTCTCTCTCTTTCTCTCTCCGTCCCTCGGCGTCGGGCGGCGTCGGGCGGCGTTCCGCGTCCGGAGCGCGTCGGCGCGGCGCTCGTTTGACTCCGGGAGCCGAGAGCGGTATCTCAGCCGCGAAAAGCGTCCCGCTCGCGATCAGGTGACA